ACACTCGTCATTTTTCCCAGATGAGGAAAGCGGCTTCTAAGACTAATATACTGATGCCCAACCCCTTCTGCTTATTGAGTCTACCATTCCAAATAGAACCTGGTCTTTATGTTTGGAGTCCTCTGTAGCTGAGCTTCTCCTGTCATTTTCCTCCATTAAAGCACTCATTGACAAAGGTTCTGCTATACCCTTTCCTGGTCACCAGCCACTGGCACAGCACATTATCGCAGTTTCACAGGAGTATTAACACATCAACCTGAACAATGATCTTCAAGACAAAGAGTTAATCATAGTCAGCCAGAGGGCTTCTTGAACACATGCCCATCCCTGTATTCTACTGAATGCAATACTGTGGCTAAAAGCACGCAATCTGGAGCCAGACTGTCCAGTTTGAACCTTGGCTCTTTGTGACCCTTGACAACGTGCCTAGTATCTCTGTGTGTCACTTTGGCCATCTATTAAACAAGGTATTGGTTATACCTAAACTTTTCAGATTGTTGAGAGGAGTAAACAAGCTATAGTAAGCTTAGAAAACTTCCTGTCACATAAGCATTATGTAGCATGAGATATTATATTCCTTTTAGAGTTGCATTTATGTCTATATCATCGACCATTGTAAAGCAAATTTTCCCGGGGTGATGGATTGGAACTCAGAAGGGCTGTGCTCAAAACGATTGTCAATGGGCAGGGTGCAGGGTTGGGAGAGGTGGCAGTGGGAAAGCAAGCACCTTCTCTTTCCTTTGGGGTTTTTAATTTATTACATGAGCCATTTGATTGCTGGGTCAGTGATTCTTAGCAATACAAGTTAAGCAATCATCTGGATTTTCCACGCTGGATTTTCCACATCGGTGCTGCTTTTGATTTACTTTTGTTTCTTCTAAACAGTAGCCAGCAAAGATGTTTACCAAGATTTTTATTCATTGTTGTAACAGAACTGGTTGAACTGCTCCAAAAGAGAAAGATTTCCTACTTCACTGGTGGCAAGATTGCTCATACTTAGAAGGCTTTCTTAACATCTAGGAGAAAAGAGCAGACTAGAGAAAGAAAACCCAAATAAGTAGAGAATCCTTTATTATCACACAGACACATAAAGCCAAACATAGGGCTTTGGTCCTAAGGGATGTTGCTTTTTTCCCAAGATAAGTTGGTCATTCAAAATAGATTTGTCCACACATATGGACACACAAACTATAACACTGATAAAGTTCAGACAATATATAGACAAAACTCCTCTAGGAAAGCAGAGGACAAGCTACCCTGGCAGAGGTTTATGGCATCTAGAGTGCTGGGAGAATTCTGTTTCTTGATCTGGATGTTAAATACATGAGTGTGTTTATTTTGCAAAACATTTTTGAGCTGCACTATTTAAGGTATTGAGGGCACTATATAAAATACTAGTTAGTTCTTAGCAAATATCATTTATCAAAGTATTGACTTTTCAAAGAATTTTATAAGTTTTATAAAGTCAAATAAAGATGATCCCTAGTTAGCAAATTAATGAGTTTTAAAAGCATGTAAGTCCTTATCATAATACGTTATGTGAAAGAAATTGAAATTTTTAAATATCTCATTTTGCCTTGATAGAAAACACCTGGGATGAGGTACCTGGGTGGCTCAGTCCATTGAGCCTTCCAACTCTTGATTTGGGTTCAAGTCATGATTCCAGGGTCATGTGATGGAGCCCTGTGTTAGGCTCTGCACGGAGTGTGGAGCTTGCTTAAGATTCTCTCTTTCTCTCTCTCCCTCTATCCCCGCCCCTTCTTAAAAAAAGAAAATAAAAGAAAACACCTGGATTTACCAGAAAACCAGGTAGAAAATCTTACCCAATTTCCTGAATGTTTCAGCTAATGTATCAAATTTTGCATAGAATCTATGCAGTGCATGTTCCGTCTTTGAAAACTGACCTTTTAAAATATTTTACAGTGATAACACATTTAAGCTGTCAATTTATAGGGAAACTCTTACTTATCTGCAGGAAATAACATATCTTATTACCAAGATTTGTTACAACATAGTTACAAAAGGAAGGAAAAACTGGCGCAAGAACTCTTTGAAACCCTCGTTCAGTAACATCCTCTTGTTCTTGCTAGGTATTGCTTTTTTTTTTTTTTTTTTAATGGTCCTTCCTGTGTACTAGAAAACCACCTTTGTTCCATGGCACACATGTGATTTCACACTAGAAATTATTCTTCGCCTGTATAAATTTGAACTGATACATTCATTCCACATCACTCATGCTCTGTGGATGGGGTCCCATCACAGCAGCCACTGAGCGTCCAGTGTCAAATTCTGTGTATGTAATTAGAACCCTGAGCGTTTAGATGAAGGAATGCTTTTTAACTTTATAATCTGTGCATGTTTCTGAGCCACCCATCTCTCCAAGGTTGAAATGTAACAAATCCTTCTTTAGTCTTCTCAAATTCTTCCTCCAGTATATTTCTTAAGCCCAAGCTGATGTATCATTTTTTGCAGCGATCTCAGCTCTTGGCAGTGACATTGGAGGGGAACAGGGAGCTGAATCTGCACCATGGAAAAATGGCAACTCTGCAGGACCTTTACCTCCTGTTTCCAAGCAATTTCGGGTTATATTCTGCCTTTTCCCGAGCAAGTTTATGTGAGATTGTAAAATTATTGAAGATTTTATTTTCAATGGCTGATATTGACAGCTGGGAGTAGAAGTGTAACATTAATATAGAAGGGCAGAGTCTCTAAGACCTGCTTATAATGCATTTCTCATCTCTCTAGATGAGACTAGATGGTGATACTTAGGGACTTTTCAGCTCATGATGAAGCAGGGTGATCTCTGCACTATGGAGCTTTGAGCCATGATAACCATTCCTCTTCTTTTTTGTAGAATAAAGACAATAACACCCACTTCATGGGGTTGGTGTTAATACAAATGTCATATATGAAGCACCAGGGCTGCCCGGTGTCTTTCTCGTGAACTTTGAGTGAGTTTCTGCATGGTCTAAACTGGAAGATACTTGTGGTCAGATGAGAACTCTAGGTTACAATCTTATGATTTATTTCTGAGTGAGGAAGAATTTAAGATGGCAAGAACATGGCAGGATTCTTTTTAAAGAAACAGACCAACGCAGAATCACATAAGCAATTTGACTTTTGATGATGTGAAAAACCCTCTTAATTTGGTAATGTCTAATACATTCCCCTTCTTTTCTCTTTTGGATGGGCTGCCACCTCCTTTGGATATTCTCAGACAGGGTTTTGGACACATAAAAACTCTGAAGAGGGGCACCCGAGTGGCTCACTCAGCTAAGCATCCAACTTTGGCTCAGGTCATGATCTCATGACTCATGAGTTCGAGCCCTATGTCGGGTTCTGTGCTGACAGCTCAGACCCTGGAGCCTGCTTTGGATTCTTTCTTTCTCTCTTTCTCTCTCTGCCCCTCCCCGGTTCTGTCTCTCTCTCTCAAAGGCAAACATTTACAAAAATTTAAAAAACAAACAAACTCTGAAGGTATTTGGAAGCCAGTTCTCCAAAGCTGTGCCTTCACAGAGTCTCGCTGCCCTAACCATATATTTTTTCTAGTTCTAGCCTGGGAGATAAGGAGGGAAAGGCTTCAGACTTGGAACCCTACCTTTGGGGACATTCTCTCAGAGCACTACTTAGATGTGACCCTCCTAGGGCACTGGTCTATATCTACTATCCTGAGGCTTTCCTTCTCTCTCTCTTAATGGTGTGGGTTCTAGAACTAAAGCTCTTAATTTTCACTTGGCTCAATTTATCATAAAAAAATGAAATATAAATTTTTTTTTGAAGTGTGTGTGTCCTATAAAGAAATCACAAGTTCATGAAAATATATTTGTATGCTACTTTCTAAAAGCATTCTTGTTTTGCTTTCATAGTGAAGTCTAGCTGGTATTAATTTTTGAATCAAATTAAATTGTTCTCCATTGTTTTCCTAATATTCAGAACAATTTTTTGAGGAATCTCCCTTCTTTCCCAACTTTGAAGTGCTACATTTGTCATAAATATAATGACCATAGGACTTAGTGGCCAAATTTGTTCAATTTTGAGAGTAAAAGAAGGCATTGATAGTAATTAGAATAGGTCTTGATTCAATTAAGCATATCCTCTCACATTGTTTTTCTTCAAAATTGTCTTGGATATTCTTGGCTTCTTACATTGTCGGGTAAATATTATAGCCACTTGCCATGTTTCACCAAAAATATTTATAGCTACATCTACTTCTATAGTATTTGTACCATATATAACTTTTCCATTCATTTTCTTTCCAACTCTTTTTTTGAGAGAGAGAAAGAGAGAGAGAGAGAATCTTTAGTAGGCTCCATGCCCAGTGCAGAGCCCAATACAGGGCTCAATAACATGACTGAGATCATGCCCTGAGCCAAAATCAAGAGTCAGATGCTTAACCGACCAAGCCACCCAGGTGTCCCAAACTATATTTTTATGTTACACACATATTTTCTGTAAACACCATATGGTACTTTTCCAATCTAGCCTAACCATCTTTGTCTTGTAACTGGAACATTTTTAGCCAATTTTGCATTTTAAGTCATTACTTAAATACTTGGAGTTTATTATAACATCTTGGTATCTATCGTGCATGCTTTGCGTACCTTTCTCTCTTCTCTCTTTCCTCTGTTTTGGATTGATCATTTTGTGTTATTCCCTTTTTCTCTTTGGTTTATTTTAAAAGTTATAAACTCTTTTACTATTCTTCCAGTGGTCACCTCAGACTGTACAACATGCACCTTTAACTCATCAAAATAGACTGTAGTTATAATTGTACTTTTATTCTCTTCCCAGACAATGCACAGACTTTAGAGTTTTTACCTTACTTCCTTCTATAAGAAGAAATGAAGGAAGGAAATCTTGCTGACAACAGATTTGCTAAGATGCTGCTTTTATCCTATGTACTCACTTCTTGCCATCACAACATCAGTAGTGTCAGGCCAAGAGCTCTGCTTTATTCTTGGCTTGTCTAAGATCAGAGTGAACAAGCGAACTGAGATCAGTCTGGCTTGCAGAATCTTAAGAAAGTTTATTAACCAACCCACTGGTTTTGTGGGAGCAAGACAATGCAGCACCTCAAGCCTTATTCCAAGGAGAACACATATATTGATCAAAGCCCCCTCCAAGCTCCCCAACACAGAATTGCATAAAGCCACCTATTGTCATAAAAACGTATATCACATGATGGAAACCAATAATTTTTATCAGAAAACATGCGAAAGGATGGTTAACAAATGAGATCTTTGCACCCCCTCTTTGCTTAATAGTCTCTCCCACTACATTATTCTTTTTGTGATTTCTTGGAATCTTTTATGATAAGACACTCACTTCTAGACTCCATGTGATCCCACACAAACACCATATCAGGGAGGATAAAGGGAAATAAAAAAGGGAAGGCAGGCTATCACCAGGTGACTCTTTAATGGTTTGAAAGAATAAGAAAAACAAAAAAATACTAATCTTATAGAACAAGGGATTAGAAATCTTGCCAAGGCAAGTTTGTCTTTATAACCCCGGCTCTTAATTGGGGTGCCCTTCTATATTTCAATTGAATATGTTTTTAAGCCTTCCCTCTACAATCAGTGACTACTTCAACTTCCAAAATTCTGTCTGTAAACTAAATTATAGTATTACCATGTTTCCTTTGGCCATCAGGAGAGCATAGCAATTTTATAGACAACTACTATATTGTTAAGAATCTACATATTTCATGGGTGTATGTAAACAGCCAACAGAGCTGAACTTACAAAGGAAATTGAAGATCTGTTTTGGGATGGTAGCTTTATTGGTAAAGATATATGAAAACTGTCACCATTAAAAGTGCAGATAATAAAGCTCTAGGCTTGACCCTGTATTTATAGTCTCTAAGGGGAAGACAATCTTCCCAAGAACAGGATGTTATTGGAAGGATTATGCTTAATAAAGAAAATGAATGGATGGTCAGCAACAAATTCCTCCTCAGGCATCATCATAGCAAAGGTGGCAACGCCTGCTGTGGCAGCCGCTGCCTCTGTGCCCTCCTCATTCACTTCCACAAAGGACTTGTGGACGATTTTTGATATGAAAAGATCTCTGGCTCCTGATATGCCAGACAGATCAGCCTTCCTGCTAAAAAGATCTTTTACACCCAGGCGGGATAGGTGGGAGTTAAGATCATAGCTCTCTTCTAGCTTGAACCTGGGCAACTGGACATTGACTTCAATGCGATTCAGATTCTCAGCGTTGGTCCACTCACGCAGTTTTTCCAAAGTCAGTTGTTCCTCAATCTGGAATGGGAATGGTAAAAACAAGAGGTGAAAACAATTTTAGGTAAGTAAACTAATAAAGCATTATTAAAAAGAATGGATCCATTATATCAGCTGCTCATTAGTCTCCTCCATGTTGTGTGCTGAAACAGATTCCATTTGAACGATTTCATTTCTTTCCAGTGATTGGTGATAATGTAACAGAGTTGTGTTCCGGGCCATCAAGGGCCCAAGTACAGGAACTCTGGACATTGGGTCCATCAAGTATCCATCTATCTACCTACCCATACACTCACCTACCCACTCATCCATCCACCCAGGAATCACTAAGCCCCTACCACACCAGCTTACTGTAATAGGTCATGATGCCTGTATTATTCTATTTAGTCAAGTCATATAAGGGAAAATTTAAAAGCTTTCTTCTATTTATTCTGAATCCCACTGATCACAGTGGTTATCTGTGAACCTCACAGAGTTGAAGTAATCTCTAATAGATTTAGTTCTTAGGTAAAAATAGAAAAAGACCTAGTTCCTCGTTTAAAAAGGAGTAACAATAGTACCTATCTACAGCATTGTGTGAGTATTAAATTAGTTAACATACATAAAGTGCTTGGCACATAGTGCTATATAAATGACAACTATTTTCATTACTCTTATAATTACTACTATTGGGCTAGAACAGAACCATTACCCACTTGTTCTACTGATGCTGATTATTCCTTCCATGAGGCTAGAGACTTTTTTTTAATATAATCAGAGAAAGAGACAAATATGGAAACATAATTGAAAGAAAAAACATGTTGATTCTAATACATATTCTAAACCTGGAAATGGCTAATATTAGACCCCTTCCTGAAAGCAAGTTTGATCAGGGACAGGGTAGAGAAAAACCACACAGCAGCATACAGACACTGAAGAAAAACGATACTCTTCACAGTTTGCCTAGTCTGAGCCCTGGCAAGAGATGGCATAGGCTTTAAATGACACAGAAAAGTTCATATTAGGACACAGGCTTAGCGCTCAAGCCAACATGTCACATGAGTTTTTTTCTGCTGTGTAGCTATTGGAAATTTAATTGACAATCTATATGAACTGCAGTGAGAATGAGCAGTGTAATAGGGTTTTATAGCACATTAAATTAAAAAAATTAATGTTTATTTATTTTTTGAGAGACAGAGACAGCATGAGCAGGGGAGGGGAAGACAGAGAGGGAGTCACAGAATCCAAAGCAGACTCCAGGCTCTGAGCTGTCAGCACAGAGCCTGATGTGGGGCTCAGAATCAGGAACTGTGAGATTATGAACTGAGCCAAAGTCGGACACTTAACCAACTGAGCCACCCGGGGAACCCCTGGGGTTTTTAAGTTTTAAAACTTTGTTTTAATAAAACAACCCTCATCATATTGCACTTTCCCCTGAAGTTCTTTTAAGAGAGTTGCCATCAGCTGCCAGTGGCCCATATTAAATTTAATATAAACCTTTAGATGTCCTCCACCACATCTGTTCACTGACAGCTGAAAATTGAAACTTAGGGCTTCCAAGTAGTAATGTAGTAATGCCATAAGCTACTTTACAAAGGAATGACAAGAGTATTGGAAAGGAAAGTCACATCAGTAAACACATAACAAGCACCTACTGCCAGCAAAAGCACCCATGACCACAAAAGGCAGAATTGATACATCAGGACACGTGAAGCATGAAGCTGGGAGCAGTTACCTTCTTGAGACCCGTGGACTCATCCTCAATGTCATCAGGCAGCAGGATAATCATGCTGAGTTCCTTGCCTCGGTAAGGCAGTTCCAGCACACGGCACTTAAGGTCCTCGATGTAGCCATATGGGAATCTCTTCTTCTGATACATCATTTTCACCACTTTTGTGTCTTTCTGGACAGTTGGGAAAAAAAATGACTCACATTTTTATCTGCATTCTCTTAGAACAAAGAGGAATTTGAGCCAGTTACATCACCTCACCTTATTCAAGCGGAAGGGCTTATTGGCAGTGGCTTCCTTAATGAACTCCTCCTCCCAGTTCCCTTTGAAATAGATAGCATTCACCAGCACGAGCTTAGTCATGCTGTCGACCACACCTGCAGCCAACAGTTCCGGGATTTTCCCTAAAATGATAAAGTTGATCAATTCATCAGTTGATGGACATTTAGGCTGTTTCCATAATTTGGCTATTGTTGAAAGTGCTGCTATGAACATTGGGGTACATGTGCCCCTATACCTCAGCACTCCTGTATCCCTTGGGTAAATTCCTAGCACTGCTATTGCTTGACCACAGCATGTCTATGAACAGTTCTTTATATGGAAGACAAGTGTTCGGTGTCCTGGCTCCTTCCATGACTAGGCTAGAGAGAGCTGTACCGGACAGTCCTAGCTACCATCTCTGATTTCTTAGAAAAGGAGTTCACAAAAATTATTTATGACCACAGCAGTTGGTAAATATTCATTCACAAGTACGAGGATATTTCTTTCCATATGTCTATTAAATAATTTGGGCCAGGCTGGATTTTCCTCAAAACTTTTTATTCCTTCTATCCTGGGAATTTTATTCATATTTTATCCTACAATGTGAGTCTTAATTTTAAAATGTAGCTTTGGGAACGTATGGGGGAAAACGTATTTAGGTACTTCAGTTAAATCATGTTCAAGTTTCCTCTTGGAAGAATTTCTACACCCAGACGCTGTCCAACTAGGCAGCGCAGAGCTCATTCCCAGGATGAACTCTGAGATTTCCAGGTCCGGATGAGGGAACAGGAAAAAGGCAGGGGGAATCAGATGCAGGTGGGGAAGCTTGGCAGGAGAAGAATGATTAGGTTCTGCCTGGTCTCTTACCTTCCGTCTGCCCTTTGACCCACTCATTAATCACTTTCCTTGCTTCTTCAGAGGCTTGCTGAAAATCTACACTGGCCAATTCAGCACCATACAATTTCTGAGTCGAAGCTAAGAATTCCTGTTTAAAAAAAAGAAAAAAAGAAATGTTAGTTTCCCAAAATCCTTCAAAGCAGAAATGGTCCTAAAAGGTGTAAATTTCATTGTAAGAAAAAATATTATAACTTTATATTTTTTTATTATGGTAAAAAAACCACTTAACATTAAATTTACCATCTTAACTATTTTTTTTTTTACTGTTTTATTTTCCATCTTAACTATTTTTAAGTACTGTAGTTTTTAAGTACTATAGTACCTGTTGTTCAGTAGTTTCATTATTGTATAAAATTTATCAATTCTTTTCTAACTTTTGGCTAACATTTTCATAAATCAGCAAATACGGATTGGACTTAGAAATGAATTGTGGAATTCACTCTTGCTTTAGTAAAACAGCCAGGATCAATCTTTTCACTGTGAAGACTATAAAAAATGATGATTAATTGTCATATGTTTTTACCCTGTGCCATTTTTCTTAATTTTTATAATAATTAAAAATGACTTATATGAATTTGGTTATGCTAGAAAAAAAAAATCTGCATTTTCTAGTGACTTTTTTTTTAATTTTAGAGAGAGAGGGGCACCTGGGTGGCTTAGTCGGTTAAGCATCTGACTTCAACTTAGGTCATGATCTCACGGCTTGTGAGTTCCACCCCCACGTTGGGCTCTGTGCTGACAGCTCAGAGCCTGGCGCCTGCTTCAGACTCTGTTTCTCACTTTCTCTGCCCCTCCCCACTCATGCTCTCTAAGCAAACAAACAAACAAACATTTAAAATATATTTTTTAAAAATTTTAGAGTGTGCATTAACAGGGAAGAGTGAGGGAAAAGGGCAGAGAGAGAGAGAGAGAGAGGATCTTAAGCAGGTTCCACACTCAGCACAGAGCCTGACACGGGGCTTGATCTCACAACCCTGGGATCATGACCTGAGCCAAAATCAAGACTCGGATGCTCAACCAACTGAGCCACCCAGGTTCCCCTGTCTAGTAAGTTTTTGAACGTGAAGTGAAAAGTACTTACAGGGAGGAAATTATAGTTCTTGTCTCCATATAGCCTATTAGCAAGTTTCAGAATATAGGAGGCTCCACGTTTGTTGATATCAGCATTCAGACTCTGAAATCTTGAATGAATTTCCTCAACCTTATCAAAATGAAGAGCCTAAAATAAAGAAAATATTCTTTTTTATAACCACTTAGTTAGAAATTATAAAGTGATTCCTTGGCATTTGCTTCCATCATACTAAATTAATGTGTTTTTTTATTATTGATTATTCATGATCTCCAGCCCAATATTTTATTAATTTCTCATTGGAGACCAAATAATAGAGAATCCAAAGTGTATAGCTCTCTGAGACACAATAATTACAACATTAGAAACTGCTTTTACATCACATTTTGTTATAATTATAGCTCTGTAATATGAGAGGTTAATAAACTAAATATTTATATAAGTCTGCTTTTTATTCAAAGAAAATTCTAAACGGTGTGTTTATGTCTTATTCTGCATCTAATATAATTTCACTGAAATTTCTCAGAAATAAACAGTAAAAATAAGAATCCTTACCTATGCAGGAACACAAAGATATTACAGAGAGAGGGATTTTTTTTTCTTATACCATTAGCATCAGTAACTCACTTATTTACAAATAACTTCTTTAAACTTAACATTTGGCAAAAGTTTAATTCTCCACATATCAGGTACAAATCAAGAATCCCTTTATGGTTTTGTGAGGCCTGGGCTGGCTCCTTGCTTTTAAGACACAAAGAACAAATCTACACAGTGTACAAAGTCCATTCACTCACCAAGATATGGAATGTTTGCATAGTTCCTATGATCACTCTGCTTCAGTGGAAGTGGAGGGGGGGGTGCTTAAAACTATTATTTACTAAAGTCATAAAGTCCCTGGAAAGCTTCAAAATGAATCTGATATTACCCTGCGAGAGCAACTAACTATTAGTACCATGGGGTAAAAAATTTTTTGAAAAAATTTTCAAAGTGGATTTTTTGAAAAATTTTAAATGCTCTCATATCTGCATTGATGAAGATGACTGGTTCTCCATAAAGTACAGCAATAGAAGCTTTGCAGCTGGAACAGGTCCATCAGCTTGAATCCAGGGCTGGACCTTCCCTAGCTGCAGGCGCCGTGCACTTTGTGACTGGTATGTTAGAAAGACTACTTTTGGCACTTCTTTCCCCTAGATTCCAAGGAAAGCCAGAGTTCCCTTCTCAGAAGCAGAGAATTCCTAGTACAGAAGTGCCCTCCCCACCCACTAAGGACAGGAGGAAGGTAAGGCATTGCTGCTTCTCGTGCTGTGCTGGTGACCTGCCCTTAACAATTGCTACTCTCTCCCTGCGCAGCCCTCCCACTCACACAGCTACAGTGAGCCTCATCTGGTGCCAGGCACGGGGCTAGGCGGAGGGAATACAGAATCACACGGTTGCCTTGTCCCCGTAAAAGTTGGCCACTGCCAACTTCACTGTGGTGTGTTTCCTATGTATCATTATGCTCAAAAATAATGTTACATAATAGGCATTCCTGATGAGGAGCAAGCCATCACATGCGAGGCAGAAACTGGTAAATCCTAGTCCAGGAAGAGATGGACTTCCAAGCAAGCCCACCAGACTACAAGGGGCACACTGCAGGGGCTTTGTCAGCTTTCTTCGCTGCTGTTCCCTCAGCCAAACAAAAAAACAGTGCCTGGCACATAGCAGGTGCTCAGTAAGGACTTGATCATGAATGAAAGCCTACGTACAAATGGATTGTTCTTGGGGCTTCTTTTGGTATTCTGACCTCACAATGTATAACTGCGGAACACAGAAATACAGTTTTAAAAACACGCTGTAAGAGCTCAAAGGCACTTTTCAGTACAGACTAGACATTAGCAGGGAGATGGAAGGAAAGTTGTCTTTTCTGCTGACCTTGGACACCTGTGCTGCAGTAGCGCCTCGAGTCCCCAGAAAGATCATGGCCAATGCTGATGAAATACTGTAGGGGGAGAAGAATATATTCCCCGTAGGAGTGTTCTCATTCAAAGCACGGAACATGTCCACGGCGAACTGGGTGTTTGCTGTGCTCAGCTGCTCCATGGTGAAGGCTGCAACACAAAACAGAGGCCCCAAGCTGCTCACTGCCCACACCAGCAAGTTAGGCAAGTGCATTTCCGTGTCCTCCTCAGCTTGTACCAACCGCCATGAAACCTGCACTTTATCTCTCTATATTTTCAGGAAAGCAGTGTGCACAAATGCAGGACTTGGGGTGACTGGCCACGGATGCAGCAGTGACACAGCATACGGCCCAGAGTACCCTAAAGGCTCTGACCTTGCAGACAGGTCAGCCTGAAGAGGGGTCCACACTGGGCCTTTCCTAAATTTAGGAGCACAAACATTTCTGTGCTCCTTTGGTATAAGGCTCTCATTCCTTTGGGCAATGAATCCACTGCCCATATTTACCTGAAATAAGAATGTTTCTATTAGAAAATCATAACTACCTACCTATCCACTGAAGTAAATTCCACTAAAGGAGACATAATTGTTCTCATTATTGAGATTCAGTCTAACGTTTCCAGACTTTAAGAATCCCGAGTCTCATAGCTAGTGTAGGATGTGAGAGTTTAAAAAAAAAAAAAAAAAAAACCCAACGCAGGTCCCAGGGTTAGGTAAGGCAGAAAGGCAGACCGACAGGGAGAAGGTGAGCACAGGTAGGCGCACCTGGCCTGGGATCTAGGACCAGCCACCCACTTAACCATCATGACTTCTCTCAGAGCCTCAATGTTCTCACATGTAGGCAGGGAAGACTACTAGCTGGGCTGGCTGCTTAGCGTGTAAGTCATAAACTACATTTTTGTTGTTGATAAAGAATCTCTAGGACCGCACTGGCCTCCTTTCCTCTCCTCCAACTGCAGAAAGGAGAAGACAGAAGCAGGCACCCGCGCGGGCCCCCTGGAAACTGTCACAAACAGACCTGGGAAGAAGAGAGAACAGGAAGAGAAACATTCTGATCTCAGGCTACGGTTCTGCTGCCAAGCCCTGACCTCCGTCCCCCGCTGGCCTGCTTGGCCGAGAGCCCCAGCCTAGGTGCGGGGTGATCCGGGGAGCCCGGGGGCGGGGCGCACGGCTGGCGGCGGCGGCGTCCGGGGCGCAGAAGTGCAGCGCCAGCGGCAGTCGGCGCGGACGGGCGGGGGCTGCGGAGATCAGCCGTCCAGAGCTCCGGGCCCTTCCGAGCAGCGGGCTGGCCTGTCCCGCCCGGCCCACCTCCCCACTGCGCCTCTGGCCCTGGTCTTACCGGCTCCGCACTGGACGGGCTCCGGGAAGTGAGGCGCGAGATGTAGGAAGAAGGGCCTTGGCCAAAGGCCTTTATAGCTGCGGAAGGGGAGTGCCTCCGGGGCGGGCGGGCAGGGCGTTGGCTCTTCCCCCTGATGACTTCCTAGGAGTCTGTGCTTCCGTAGAGGGTGAGATGAGTGTGGGCTCCGCGCCTAGAGCAGTGTCCTTTTCACAGGGAAAATCAGCATCTCTCTGAAATCCCGGCAAACTCAGATCCCTGGCAAGGATCTGACGGACTATTTCTTACTAAAATCTGAATGACTGAGATAATTATAATGTGTCATCTCTTAGAGGGCAAACTTTTGAGTTCCATCTATGCATGATATACTCCAAACTCTGAGATTATTTGTTTTTATTTTTTGGTGGGGAAAACAAATTTGGAACCTCTTGCATAAGGGAAAAGGGCGGGGGCGGGGGGGGGGGGGCTCCGGGATAAAAGAAAACAGAATCAGTTCCAAACAACATCTTCGATGTCACTCTCTTCCTGATACCAAAGTGAAAACTCAGTCCGGATACTTCCTTACAGGTGATGACTACACTGGCTGAGTCAGCTCAGATCTCACACATCATGACATCTCACATCTTCATGAATGAAGTATTTTTTAGCCACTATGCTAAAGTGTAGACTCACCAATTTTTCTTCCTGGACTGTTGAAATAGAATGACTATGATTGAATAGTAAAGTCAATAACTATTTCTGTGGGGTTTTTGTTTGCTTATCCCTTTAAAGGTCTGGGTATGTAGTTTCACCAAAATGTATGGCGTTTGAGGGTATGAAATAATTCTGCATCCATGAAACTTCTTCTTTGCCTTTTTTTGGGGGGGGAGGGGATCAAATCTCAACATGAAAAGAGGGCAAAGGAAAAATCCTATTGTTGTATTAGTATGGATAACATAGTGTGGATGGATTTGTAGATTTTTCTCAACTGTGAGAACTTATTTATAATGAAAAGGAACAAAAAAATCACCATACTACAGTAATGAGTAATAAAAATAGTCCCCCAGTAATAAAAAAAAAAAAAGCAGCAAGAGTTTAATAACTAAGACTGTAGAGTCCTTTACAGTTTATTAGAATAAAGAAACCAACATTTATTGAAAGCCATCACAATTAAGTTGAAGTGATTTGATCATATCTGGTAACCTGTCCATCATTTCACACAGATCTAAAGAACCATTTATTAGCTTCTGCTAAGAGATCAATGTGAGAAAGTCAAGAGTGCAAAACTTCACTGAAAATGTGTTAAATGAAGATCAGAGACACATAAACAAAAAACGGTGTTCTGAAGTTTTATTTTTCCTCCTGATATTTTGCATTTGTACTTACCTAGAATTAGTAATCTGGGTCAAATGTAAAATGAAACCATTCCTAAATCAATATATTTACTGTCTAAGGTCAAGACAAAGTAACTATTCTGTTGAATAGCACTGGAGTGTTCTACTTGTGGCTTTAAACTGCATGGCCACTACCAAAGTTCATGCAGAGATACTCTCATACATTGTGAAGGCACAGCCAGTTTGGACCATGTTTGCCATTTCTACTAAACCTCAAACACATGTTTACCCTAACTGTGATCCAACAATTTCACCCTCAGGAATATACCCAGTGAAAATGTGCTGTGAGTGTGTGCACCTGGAAACATGTACAAGAATGTTTACACCAACATTATTTATATTAGACTCAAACTGGAAACCACCTAAATGTCCATCAACAGAAGAAGAGATAATTTTTTTAAGTTTATTTATTTCTTTTTGAGAGAAAGCATGAGTTGGGGAGGGGCAGAGAGAGAGAGAGAGATTGAGAATCCCAAGCAGGCTCTCCATTGTCAGCACAGAGCCTGATACGGGGCTTGATGTGGGGCTCAAACTCATGAACCCTTGAAACATTAAAAAAAAGGGGGGGGGGCACCTGGGTGGCTTAGTCGGTTAAGCGTCCAACTTTCGCTTAGGTCATGATCTCGCAGTTTGTGGGTTCGAGCCCTGCGTCGGGCTCTGTGCTGACTGCCAGCTCAGAGCCTGGAGCCTGTTTCAGAGTCTGTGACTCCCTCTCTCTCTCTCTCTGACCCGCCCCTGCTCACGCTGTCTCTCTCTCTCTCTCCTAGAAATAAATAAAACATTAAAAAAAAAAATCTCATGAACCCTTGAAATCATGACCTGAGCCAAAGTTGAGGCTCAATCAACTGAGTCACCCAGGTGTCCCAGAAGAATAGATAAATTAACACAACAGAATAATCCACAACACTGGAAATGAACACACTACAGCAATACACAACAACATGGGTAAATCTCACTCATACACTGTTGAACAAGAGTGCAGACACAAAAAGTATAAGCTATATAGTTCTAATTATGGAAAGTTCAAAAACATGCAGAACTAATTCATGGTGTTTGAAGTCAGGAAAGATGCTCTCTCTCTGGGGAGGAAGGAGTATTATATTGACTATATCTTTCTTATTTTCTGTATTCTTGGTGCTCTGGCATTTAAGGCCCCCATCCCAGAGAGACTGCCCCTACTAGGGCTAGCTAATTCCTAGAGATTGTGAATGATTACCATGAGAGTGAAACTTTGGCATACAAAGCAACAAGTTGGGTGACAACTATCTTTTTTGTCAAACTCCCACACCCCAAGCCAGGGCTCCCCCTTCCCTAAATCACCCCAGGGCCAGCTACCAGATATTCCTTCTATCTCCTGGCTGAACTGGTTGTTTCCCAGGTCCCACAGGGTCTGGCGTGGTGTAGCGTGGTTTGCCTTTTATTTCTAGGGATCTATGAGTATAAACTTCCTTCGTGACTATCATTTCCATGCCAGTGGTCTTACCATAACTGACAAAAACAAATCCAAGTTTCATTTTTACACAAGGGTGGTGAGTGAGAGCAGCACAAGGTGGGGAGAGTTCTGGAGTGCTGATAATGTGGCATTTCTTGACATGGGTAGTGGTTACATGGATGTATTCATTTTGTGATAATGCATTGAGTTGTACACATACTTTTTGTACTTCTCTGTATGTATGTTATACTTGAATAAAATTATTAAAAAGTAGCAGCAAAAAATGTTGAATGTTAGTGATTATCTTATTTACTGTCTCCCCTTTCTCTCCTGCCACAGGGTCAATCAGCTTGAAGCTGGCTGGCATGTCATCCAGCATGTCCACCCCCTAACTGTGGTTGGTGGCTTGTGCCCAAGATATGAGTTAGTAAGCTCCAAGCCCTTCCTACTCTCCCACATCCAGCAACACACAACTCTCTGAATTCAGGTAAAAAGCCCTTCCCATCTATGCTCTCATGTGGGAACACATCAACCACTGGTTCAAGATGCACAATAAAGGAGACGCAGTATAAATTTTTCAAAGATCCACACCCAGATTCCTATAACCCAGGAGAAAATCTCAAAGCAAAACCAGTAGGTGTTTGAGAACTAATTATTTTTATTATTGATTTCTAGCTTAATTGTAGTGTGGTTAGAGAATATGATCTCTATATTATTTTAATCTTCAGAAGTGTTTTGAGACTTGCTTCACAGTCCAGAATATGGTCAATATTGTAAATATTCCTGTGTATCAGAAGAAAAGATATATCCTAAATCCTTTGGCAGCAGTGTTTTATATATGGCTATTCTGATAAGTGCACTAATCATTTTATTAGCTCAATATCTAGATTTACCAAGCATAGACAATGACTAAATATCAGTATTTCTGTTGACTAGCAACAGACAGAAAATAAAACTGAAAGAAGGATACCACTTAAAGTATCCTTTAATCAAAGTCTCTTGACTGTGTGTGTGTGTGTGTGTACATGTGTATAACTTGTACAGATCACAATAAAAATGTTTAAAAAGGCAAATAAATTGAATAAACACTTTCAAAGAGAAAAATCCAAATGGCTTATAATGCATAAAATGGTGTTAAATACAAATTTTCTTGAAATACATTATACTCACATTGGCAAAAAATTTTAATTCTAACAATTCTAACTATTGGCAACTAAGTGTATAGAGCCACTGGAATTCTCTCACTCCTTGGGAATTATGAACTGATAAAACTACTTTGGAAAATAATCCAATGTTATTTAAGAATGTTGACCTGGTGATTCTTCTTTCTCCTAGAGAAATTTGTTCACATTTATATCAAAGACATGTACAAGAATGTTCAAGGTAGCTTTACTGGTGAGCTACAAAGATCAATAGTAGAATAAGATACATGAACTGTAATATGTCCATCCAGTGGGATGTAGCAATGAAAAGAGATAAATTATTGCTGCATTCACAACATGAATGAAATTCCAAAACGTAAGATTGAGCAAAATAAGAACAATTCAAAAGACTACATTTCAAGGGGCGCCTGGGTGGCTCAGTTAGTTAAGCATCCAACTTCAACTCAGGTCACAATCTTATGGTTCATGCTGAACCACAATCTTATGGCTCTGTGCTGACAGCTCAGAGCCTGGAGCTTACTTCGGATTCTGTGTCTCCCTTTCTCTCTGCCCCTCCCCTGCTTGCACTATCTCTCTCTCTCTCTCTTAAAAATAAACATAAAAATTTTTCAAAAGATTATATTTCAACACTATTTCATTTATATAAATCTCAAAATCAAGCTTAAAGCAAGCTGTACTGCTTTAGAGAAAAGCAAGAAAATGATTGCAAATGTCAGAAGAGTTTTTACCTGTTGGGGGAAGCGGGGGTTTTATCTGGAGGTGCCACTTGGAGGGGAGAGTATTTGATTTTTTGGCCTGGGTTATTTGGATGCATGCCTTATAATTAGCTTTTCAGTTATCCTTATGATCTGTGCTTTATTTTATTATAAGCGAAATAAAATGTCAAGTGAGCTAACAGACTAACATACCTCCAAATGCCTGACAAGTCACTGTATTTATAATTACAGTTAAACTGAGAAAGGAGTAGAACATATGAGCAAGAGATAAAGAAGTCCTGGACAGGTGAGCTAGTTTTCATGCCAAATCTTCCTCCCTTGACAGCTTTCCCATGAGATTTGTCCCTGCTTGGGGGTCTCTCTCTCTCTCTCTCTCTGCCCTCCCTTTGCCCCTTCTGCAAGCATGTGCTCTCTCTGTCTCTCAAAAATA